GCAGCAGCAGCGGCAGCAGTCAGGGTGGTTCAGGATGAGGCAGTGACCAGCAGCTGAAGGGCTTGTTAACCATCTAAATAAATGGCACCTGACTGGACATGCAGATAATGAAAAGGATTTGGAAAGCTGCTCATATTGTTCTGCACCCCCACAAAAAAAAAAAAAAAAAAAAAAAAGATGTGCAAAGAAAGCAGGATGTAGCTACCAGCACCAAGACAAAGCTTATCTAGAAATTCATCATTAAGCTCTGGTGTTCGTACTCCCCCTCAGCAACAACACTGTCCTCACTGTCTGCCAGCTTATTTGGCTCCACAGCTGTGTGTTGTTTTCAGGAGCAGGAAGTTCATTTCCTGCAAAATGTCAGACTGTTCGTAAGTCAGCTGTGGCAGGTGCGTGGGATTGGCACATACTGTAAACCTCTGGTTAACAGTGGAATGCATTTAAAGCGGAGCGCTTCTGTATGGACAGCAACATGTCGGACAGAACAAGACCAGTTCTGGATCGGTTCAGTTCCTGGTGACAGTACCAATTTGGAACAGTGGGAATACACATGCATGCAAATACCTACTCAAACACACTCACACATACACACAAAGATGGTGAACGTCTTTTCTACAGCAGGTTTATTTTGTGTTTGCGACAGAAGAATGCTTTGAGGCTCTTTCAGGCTGCAACTGTAAATATAATTTGTTACAGCAGAGAGAAAAAACTCTCCTAAATCCAAACTTGCACTCATTACAGGAAAAACATGGTAGAAACATTTTATGGGATGATTTCAGGGATGTAATGAGGCGTACTGTGCCTTCTGCTGTGCTCAGAGTGGCTTTCACTTTTGCACTCTGAGATGCTTAAAGGCGATAACTGAAAGCACCACATTCAGTTAAAACTGCATCTCTTCCCCAAGTTTAGCCCTACAAGACAATACAGTATATACCGCAGAAACTTGGAGGTAGGACGTGTAAAACAAAAAGCAAAAAAAAAAAAAAAAAGTTGTTTTTTTCCTTTATATGCATTTGTCTGTGTTGAACTGGGCAACACGTAAACTGTAACTGCAGGATTCTCAAGTTGCCGATGGTTCCTGAACGCACCTTGTGTGACAGCTACAACTCCGGCATGACAACATCATAATCTGTGTAGACCTGGCGTTTTGCACCAATTAATAAGCGGCTCCTCAAGCTAGCATATAGCTAACAAGTGCTAAATGGTTTTTGACAAGAAAGAGACCAAAGGAGCAGACCAACAGTTTATGATTGAGATTATTATCCAATGGGAATATAGAATTCTAAAAACATGTTCGGCATTAATTTTAATATGCTAAAAAAGGAATTATCCTTGAATAGTGAATAACATTAAGCATAACTTACTGAACTGAACCCTTGGGTTAAGAAGTCAAACTGAACTTGACATTGATATATTTTGTAGGATTCAAACCTAGCATTAAGCTAAGTTTGAAACAGGAAGCTGTTATAAACAGCTAGAATTGTTAGCATGTTGCACAGCCTGGTTATATAAGGCACTGACTTGAGCACAAACGTGTTCAACAGTTTTCAACAGAGTTTTTAGATTTTCTGACTTTGATGCCCACAAGCACAATGCCAACGGCCAAAACAATCTTGATGGGGTGTCTCACCTCATAAGGGTCGATTGTAACTCTCTCTCACAGCTATATATACATACACTCATAGCTATTGCTTTTCCAAAGTATAATGAAGAGAATAGATTAAGTAAAGTAGGGTAAGAATGAGTTATACTATACTTAAAATGCAGCAGAGCAAAGCTTTACCAAACAGCATCTGACATTAAGCAGCAGACCTACTTTGGGAGTACATGAAAACATAATCTATCAGAAAATCAAATAAAGTAAATATCACAAAAAGTAAGAAATTAACACAATCACAGAATTAAAACAGTAAAGTCCAACGTGAAGACAGTGACATCAGAGTAAGAAGTTTGAAAGACAGGTTGTTAAAATAACCTGCTTGATTGATTAATTAATTGCCATTTAAACATTTCATAACATTTCTAGATGTTTTAAAAGACGTTGGTGTCACACCACTGAGAAGTGTGAAATGTGCCTTTGTAATCTTTGTTATATATATGTCATGATATGATATATTATGGATTATGATATATGATATGATTTAGAAGTTGAAATTATTCCTTCTTGGCTTCAGCTGCAAACAACTGACGGCCAAGGTTTTTCAATGGATCAGTAGTCAGAATGCACAGAAACGGAGTTCCCAGCTGCTTCAACATTACCATGACTTAAATGTAAATGCATTATTATAATAAGGGCCATATATAGTGTTATGGAGCCGGGATGTGCTAACAAAATCTGTAAGTGATGGAATCTGGACTACGTCATGGTGATAGTGTAGTGTAGCCATCGAGGCTAGAAATCCATGGCCACTTACACTGAGTGCACTTGTCGAGGGGAATGAATTGGCACTAGCCAATGAGAGCCCTACACTGGCTGTGATGTTATTTGACACTAGGGAAACTATGCAGCCCTGTTCATGTGCAGCCTATGAATTAGGCATGAATATGGACATGTGATTAAGTGAGTGCAGGCAAGCTAGATTATTTTTCATTCTAAATGTTTTGCGACTGGCTGAGGGGGTCCATTGTTTTACTTGAATATAAACACAATATAATATTATATATTAAATAAGTATGTCTTTTTTCTGAAATGTCCAACTTGACCATTTCAATAATTACAAAAAAAGACTATTGAAAATAAATAAAATATATATCAAGGTTAAAATTATCATTGACGTCAAGTCATGGACCAGATATGAGGGTTTCACGGGCTGGAATTCGCCCCTGCACCTGGTGTTTGAGACCACTGGCTTTAAGCTTCAGTTGTCTTTAGTCTATGAAAAAAGATTGCATTAACAACATATGGTTTTAGAATTACATTGCTTTGTAAGTATTTTTCCTACTTCTTCTGGAGAAGGGTTTTTTTTTTATAGAGGAGTGGGGAATCAAACCCCAACCTACTGGTACGCCTAAGTCGAAAACTGTAAAACTGCTTTTGTGGTGTGCACAAGAAACAGGAACTGAATGCATATACAGCCATGCCTTGTGATGTTCGAGGCAAGAGGGGGGGGATGTAAAGACGTGCGGGTTAATAAAGCACCCTTCATTTGCTGATGAAGTACTGATGTAGCAGTGGGCAGTCTTGCTTTAAGACATGTGATCTGACTCACTCTCAGCTCTCTCTCTCTCTCTCTCTCCCTCTCTCTTTCCAGCTGGGCTACATTGTGATACAAGCAAAACACACAAGCTCACTCACACACACACTCACTCTACCTCTCTGACACACAGACTCTACTTAGTGCGCTGGAGAGAGCACTGAGGCTCACACTATCAGCACAGCTTCTCAATGGGGGGACGCAGCCAAGAGCAGACAGAGCAGTCATTTCGCCAGAACCTTCCGCCACACGCGTGAGAAAGACCGGAGAAGTGAAAGAAAGAGGAGGGTAAATTAGCTCCCTGTCATCACAGCTCTGGAGTTCTGGTGACGGAGAGCAGAGTCTGGCTGTAAAGGGAGCAGAAAAAGAGATGTGAACTCCTGTGGCTGACAGAGCAGTGACATGATCAGCCTCTCCATCCCTCCAATCCTCACCACTTTGTGACACTGACCCCCCTTGGTGAGCTGCTTTTGCTGGCTGTTTGTGTTGCCATTAAGGGATTCCAGAAAGTGAAAACTGTACAGCAGGTGGTCCACGGCGGGGGATTATCGCGCAAGGAGGAAAAAGAGCAGCAGTTTTGGTGCCTTTTGTGACTTGGTTAGGTGCTGGAATTTCAGTGGGAACCCCTGTCTTGAAAGTTATGGATGGATTTACCACAGAAGAGTGAGTCTGCTGGGCTGACGGCGGGCACCCAGTGATTCTGACCGGGCTTCAGTTTTTCCATTTAACTCACTGCACAGGTAAAGGTGTGGGACCTTCGAGGAATACTCTGTTGTTGGGAGGGAGGATGGGTGAGGCTGAAGGTTGAACAACAACAAGTCTTACTGATGCAGTTCTTCTTAACTCAGATGGTTAGCCAATGAAAAAGTGCTACACAATAGTTATGATTTAATATTGGTACAAGTCTAACTGGATGGTTAACATAATTTGCATTCATGGAATTAATGCTTTGCACTTTTAGTGTCTGGACAAAATATTTTAAAGTGCATTCCACTGGTAATATACAGTAATGCAGGGATGTTAAGGAGCATTTTATCTAAGTCCAGAGAGAGAGAGAGAGAGAGAGAGAGAGAGAGAGATAGATAGATAGATAGATAGATAGATAGGACGTGCATGTTTTTCTTTTTGCCTTTCAAAGACAGCAGCAGAACAAGAGGAGTTTTATATATTTAGTTCAATCCATGTGTCTAGAAGCAGGTGCAACAGTCGCCTGTGCACCTGCAGCTCTGGAGGAAGCTGCACGGATTCCACAGTTACGCACAGAAGGAGCAACTCTGTGCTATTACCGACCCGCGAGAAAGTGTTTGAATGTCTGTCTGTCGCGTGACAACAATAAAAGGACACGCGATGTTCCCTCCGGTACTGACGCACCAAAGCTGGAGGTTACGTTACATTACTTTGAAAGCGACTCTCTTTTCTCTGTGAAGTTGCCTTCTCCAGTTCCCCTCCCGCTGCTGCTTCGTCTCACCCAGAAGTCTCCCGCGCGTCTTTTTCCTCCTCCGCTCAAACGCTGCTGGTGAGACGCACGCACTCTTTCTAGCCAGGCTGCCTTTCCCTTAACCCGCGAGGGGCTGCACGAAAAAGCCAACCAACTGTACACGCGCAGTGATTCACTTGACACATACTAATACTGTGATTTGGGGATTAGGAAGGCACGGTGCATTTCACATTTGCTCAAACGCGTGGATTATGCGTGCTTTAGTGCCGAGGCAGAGTGATTTGAAGCGTGCTGTCCTTAATCATATGCGTAATTTGGGTTGGGTTTTAACCAGCGCGGATGTGAACAGAATACACGGTGTAGAAAAACACCAAAACAAAACCAGTGCGAGAGAGCAGGTTTGGAACGATTCTCAGCTTTTTCGTGTAAATACATGCCATTTGTTGCACACAGTCGGGTCATTTTAATTCATATCTGACTATTTTTTTCCCTGTATTGTTTTTATTGAGTTCTTTCAGCTTTATTTCACACCTTGTAGCCCCCTTACGGCAAGACAGAAGCCAACACTGAAAGGGATTTTAGGATTCAAAGTGAAATTGGAAAAAAAAAAAATCAAGATTTACAGATTATTTAATCTAAATGAACATAGAACGCTGTTATACCTCTTCTATACCTCCTCTTAGTTGCTACTCATAAGGAAAAAAAAGCAGTCGGTAAATGTCTATCAGCTCTTGTTCAACTCATATCTACAGAATCTAACATTAATAACAGGTCAAATATGTTAGATGTAACTATGACATTAGCATGTTTCGTATTCAAAAGTTTTGGTTTACTCCCTGTCTGTTTGTCCTCAGCCTTGTCTATAAACACCTAAAGTCATAAACATCGATACTTTTCACAATTTTGTCCCATTTTAAATTTTTATTCAGCCTAAACCCTGAACTGAACACCAGTAAATCATCAGGAGTGACGTAGTTGTAGTGAGCCCTCGACAAGGTTTCAGCCAAAAGTAAAAAAGAAAGAATGCAAAGTTAAATTTGGATTTTTAATAGATGCAATTTACTGCATCAGTTGATCTCAAAAGCCATGTAACGATTGTTGCCTGTTTGGGTCTCAGTCGAGATGCATTTTATCGTGTAATTATGTATTTATATGACGCACCAACCTGCCTCAAGGTAATACGGACAAAAACAGCCTAAAATAACACACTTTCACCTGAGAACATACGGACAAAAACAGCCTAAAATAACAATCACACACTTTCACCTGTGAACAGACAGTTATCAGTTTAATGGAATAAAAAAATATTTTTGCCAACAAGTTGAATAAAATGAATACACCCAGTGCCTCAGATGTTAAAGAAATAGATTTGTGAAATCTGAGTTTCCTGTCTGGGAGTTGATATTTTCTTCCCATGTCTCACAATCAGCGCTCCACTGTTCGTTTTGTTTCTTAAAATAGGCAGCGCTAAGACCAAGGCACAGTTTGTTTTTCTGTTGAGGTTGGTGGTGTCATTACATTTCCCACTGTGGATTTATTCTGAATGAAGAGCGCTGCCGCTGCTACAGCTAATAGCACCTGGAAAAACGAGGAGAGGCTCATTATTCAGTGAAGTCTTAAGGCATGACTCCATATGCCGGTCCCCACCAGCCATTAGGCGTGCAGCCACCGCACAAATCTCCTCCAGAAAACCCTGTGTGCGCAACTCTCCAAAATACAAATCTTAAAGCAGTCAGCTCTCCAGTGGTTTTGTTAATGACACTTCAGTCCATGAAAATATAATGTTCGGTATTTTAACTTAGTTGCTGCACAGTGCAATAACTGAAAATCATCCCAACCTTCAGCCTTCAACCTTCATCAAAAATAATGATTTTGGATTTGTGTGATGTCAGCTGTCAGCAGTTGAAGACAAGCTCCGTGAATATAAACTTTATACCCACTTTTAACATGAGGTAATAAGTCTTCAACTCAAATGTTTCACTGTTGATTTAATATTGATTTTTAGGGTCTCTCGATAGGTTAAAGATTTTAGTCTGGAACAAATTTAAAATCGCTCACATTTAATCACCGGTGAGCTAAATTACATCAATTAGCAATGATGCAAACCTGACTCTCAAGCTAATGTGATGTGAAACGAGTGGATTGTGCAAATGTGAAATTATATTGGACCTTCTGTAGAAATCATTAGCATGATGCAGGTAAACGATTCATGGAAAATACAGTAATACAGTGTGTGTAACCAATGTATGGTATGATTTTTTTTTTTCAAAAATAGAACATGTTTCCATTGTTTCCCAAGTCCTTCAGTAAACAGTGGACATAAAAAAAACTTTTTCAGCACAAAAAATATCTCTTTAGATCTTTACTTTGACAGCAGTAGATCTCGTGTTAAACAATAATTATTTACTGAAATAGTCACAAACATGTGGTAATTATGTCTACTGTGGTAGCAGCGGTTACCTCGGGCATTTGTGCGCAGATACTTCATATTTCCTTAGAGACTTCTAAAATAAAATAAACTGTAGACAGATATAAATTATTTGCCATGTCTCTCCTGCACTGATAAACAATATTTTTTAAATTGACAGAATTTTTTTCCCACCAAAGTTCAGCACAAAGCCCCGGTCTAATAATTTTCTGACTTCAGGCCACAACTCTACACAGATCCCCGAAGATCCCAGAGGTGTTTGCTTACATAACGTGTATCCTGTCTCGTGTAAAGCACAGTTAATTAAATAAATGGGTTATGTGTTTGTCGGTGCCGTTGTAATCCATTTCGCTGCCTGTTTTTCTGTGTTACACAGACTCTGCCTCACCATGTCCTGGCTGTTGCCCATGTGGATTAGCCTCGGCTTCCTGTTGTTGTGCCAGGCCACCCTCTACCAGACGATCCAGCAGCACTATGTGGCACGACCCGGGCGCACAGACATCCTTACCCTGGGTAAGTCAGCCATTCTGACAGGGAGTGGTGACAATGTAACAGTCGTACCCCTGTGTAATTGGCCAGTAGCTTCCACCATTGGCTGTGTCAAAGCCACAGCCGGACAGATCCACTTCAGGATGTCGGAAAAATTTGCCACAGTAGTGTATTCCATTACCCTTCAGTTGAACGCCATTGTGCAGGTTATAGATGTGCCTTAACTAAATGACACGCCCATGCACTCATTGGCTGCGTCTTTAGATTCACCTTTGTGACTTAGTCTTTTGTACAAAGCGTAGACAGGCTGTCAAAGTTCTAACTGAGACTCAGGAGAAGGACTGAGGTGATTAATGTAACTTTAAACGGAGCGTGGCAGTTGGTTTCATCCAGTCTTGTCTGCATATCTCAGAAAATGCTGATCTCCGAGAATTTTGAGCACAGCTATTTTGTTTGAAGAAAAAGTTCAAGTGTGCAGTTTGAGGTAGTCTTGTTGCCAGAGGTCAGAGAAAAATGTCTTCCTTTACCCAAACTTTGGACGTTCTTACAGGCAGAGCGAGTAAAACTGGATTTTAGAGATTTCAGTGACAGGAAGTAAAAATCATGTGAGGAAATCCATGATATCCATGATAGTTGTACATTATAGCATTAGAGATTACATTTTTAATATTTTGTTTAAATAAATGCATTTATTTGATGAAATATGATAAACTATTCATCCAGGATCAAATATGTTCGAGCAGAACTTGTTACAAAGATATACGATGTAAACACACACCATCGACTCCGTGTGTGTGGTTTTCTTATTCATATTCAGGTCCTGGTGTAAACATTTTCTGCTGACTCTGTGCTAAATGACATATGTTGTTGTTCATGATTAATGTTCTTCTAGAACACATTTTAACCCGAATTAAAAAAACAAAAAAAGCTGGGTGGAAATATGGACAAGAAGACCCTGAACTTGCTGGCAGGTTTTTTTTTTTTTTTAATGGCTAAAGCTGAAGGCAACTAAACCCCATTACTGCACTTGTTACCAAGGGAGCTTTGATCACTGTGGCTTAGATGGAGATGACAATTATGTTCCCCCTCTTTTGCTTTTGCTCTGGAAATGTATTTGCAATTAAGCCTGATGCCTCCTGCACTGTAGGGGCAGAAGGAGAGCGTGATGCCAGAGCAGAGCTAATTCTCTGATTAGTAGCTCTTCTTCTGCTGTACATGTGTGTGTGCGTGTGTCAGTAAAAAAAAAAAAAAACATGTTTTATTTCAACATGACATTTTAACAAGTGCAACTTGCTCTTTTTTTTTGTTTGGAGCAGCTTTCGTGGAAACCAAGCCTGTTGGAAAATCTATTTAATAATGAATGAATAACAACAGTATCATTTTCACTTTATATATATATGTATATAACTTGTATCTATTTCCATATTTTCCATAAAAGCAAAAGGTGTTTAAAAATGATTGTTTTAATGAAAATGTTATTTTATTTTCAATGTATCCCACAACTTTATAACACTATTTTCACAGAAAACCTTTTTGATTGGTCATTTTGATAACCAATAGGAACTTATCAGAACTATCTATACTTTAATAATGAATTACATAGCGCTACAGTGTCATTGTGAGTAGACATAAAAAAAAGTTTCCTGGATGTGAAACTTATCAACAGCTTCCTCTGTTTTCTTATCCCAGTCCCAGATTTAGCAAAAACCTGTTCACTGCCTTTGCCGTTCTCTGCAAAGTAAACCCAAAGTTGGATGATTCGATGTGTCAGAACCCATTTACATAGTTGGTCTCAGTAAAGCAGGAGCACTCCATCTTCAATAAGAACACTAAGAGATAATTAGAATGTAATTGAATCTACAAGCGTTTGCACTGAGTCTGTTATTGTGTTACAGCCGCGCTCTGGAAAACTTTTTAGAAAGCTCTGATGTATGACAACCATAATTGGGTCTGTCAATTGTGTCCTCGTTGGATGTGTTGTATCGCTTTACAGATTGGTGCCCCCAAAATGAAAGCCTTTTACATATAGGCATATATATATATATATATATTTTTTTTTTTTTTTTCCTACTGCTGTGCGACTATACATTTTAGTGCAGATCATGTTTTTGTGAAGAGGATTAAGCTGACATCAATCTTACTCAGCCGTGGAGTAGCGCTAACTGATTTAACAAGAACTGCTCTCTCCAAATTGAAATGGTATGATGAATATTTGAATTAGAATTGATTTTACAATTTGAGGAGCTCTCTGGTTTCAGCCAGTCCAGAGCCTCTGATATAAATAGACGTGCATGTGTTGGACGGGACCAAATAGAGCCGTCTTTGTCGTCCGCGAAGAATTCATGGTTTCTATGCTTCGCTGTTTACAGTAATCACAAAATGGTATTGATGGTGAAACGTGATCATGTCATTCAAGGTGGAGAATGAGTAGTGGAATGGTTTCTTATAATGAAGGGGATTGAAAATGCTCCTGTGTGAACTCCCCACTGTCCCTAATCTCCGCCCTGGAGGTGTGGAAGGTCTTCGTACAGACTGTGAATGCGGGGGCTGTTTTAAAAAACACACGGCCTCCCTGCAAAGTTGGCCATCACATATGAGTGGTGGCAGTGTTGCTGCGATCACTCTTTCTGCCTTCTTCAACACCTGCTGCAGGTACTTTTTGTCCTTTTCTGTGCAGCTGGCAAAGCACAGTACAGCAGTAGGTCAGGACGCTCTCAGCTGTGGCTTCACGGAAGTTAATCAGAATGTTAAAAGTTAGAGGGCAGTCCAACCCCTTAAACCTGCTCCCCACAGATGCAGGAAGTGAACTGCTCAACCTCTCCTTCATCATCCACTCAAATCAAAGACTTGGAAACTATTGGCACAAAGTACTTGGTGAAACAAACTCAATTTTTAAATGGAAAGCCTTTTTTTCTTACAGCACCACCAGACTCAACCTCACCATTAGTTGTTACAGCTCTGCTTTTTATTTTCAGATAAAGCAAACTAACCAAACATATTTTTTCTTTTCCGTGTGTACAAAGTTATTCTGAATCTTTTTTTCTAAACTGATCACAGAGCAGCTATGTCACAGTGTGCAGATTGTGAGCTGTCCTCTTTGTCGCCACCATAAAATTGAACAGTAAAATGATGAACAACAAGCAAAATAGCATAATACAAAACCGAAGGAAAAATCCAAAACAAACAAACAAACAAAATGCTCTATTCAAAAGTTGCTGTCAATAAAAAAAGCTCCCTTCCCCTAAAACAGATCATCAGAAGTTTTAGGAGTAGTGGACATCAGATGACCTTTGATATCAGCTTTAACTTAAATAAACCAATGTTGTTGAGGTGTCTGTTTGTAGACTGTAGACTAAGTCGGACTTTCCTCGCTGTCTCAGAGTGATCACCACTGTGAGTCTGACACTCACGGTGTCAGATTTGGAATCTTTGACGTAATATGCTACCACAATGGTCCATTTGCGACTTTGAGTGATTTAAAATCAATTCCCACAAAACCTCTGTGATTCACCTAATGCATAACTACGCTTTGCCACTATATTTGTGAAGAGTGTGTGAATAACAGCTAATATAGAAAACAAAGCGACGAGTTAAAGAGCCAGTTTAATCCCCCAGCTTGTGGAGGCTGCCAGCACATCTGTTTGTTTTAACGTACCTGTAATCTTAGAAAATTAATTTTAAAAAACACTCTGGAGATAAAGTCTCCAAAAAACACTTTGGTGAATGTTTTACATCTCGTTGTGACAAATTGGTTTAGTCACCAGCTACTCTGAGATTGAGTAATGAGTTGCCTGGCTGCTTTGTCACCTGCTCCAGGAAGCAACAGCAGCGCCCCTCTCCTTTCCCATGAGCTCCTTGTTCACACACTCTCCGCCTGCATCCTGCTCATGTGGCTGAAGATTGATGGCGGCCTGATTCTGGGCAGCCACTTCTGGTATCGCAAGAAATAATCCACTACACTGACAGATGAGCTGCGACATGTCACACACACACACACACACTACAGGTCTGCACTCGCCCTACCTGCCAAGTCTTCCACATTGCCACATAAACCAGGCCACACTTGACAGTAGCTAGCATTGAGCTCCATCAGGAGTCAGTAAAAGTACAATCAATTTACCGCCGGTGCACTTCTGCCAGTAGTTACCATAGATTTTGGTGTCTCCTGTTGTTAAAATTAAAGTGCTCCCTAATGTGTTGTCCGTACTCTGGTACACTGTACTGTCAATATCTTACCCTTGTACTCCACTTATTTATCCTTGTTTCACTGACGTGGGCATACGGCAGCCATGTTCCTAATGTATCAATACCCACAGGTGCAGAGGGAACGCGACGGCACCGGAGCTGCTGTTTGGTTCAGTCACGAAACAAATAAATGATTTGAACGACTATGCACATTCTCCCATCAAACATGAAAAGTGCTACAACAATGGTGTGTACATAGAGAGGTTGGTGTACTTAATGTATGACTGTGATTCCCAAAATATGGGGTGGGGCCAACTAGGGGTGCAGAGCTATTGCAGCCTTGTTCAATGAGAATATCAGTTTTGTAGTTATTACAGAGTTCCAAATAAAACATTGCACAAGTTTTGAAACATTAAAGTGTCAATGCTGGTGGGGGGCTGATCAACAATAAAAGAATAAAATGGTGCTGCTGAAAATGTTAGGAAACCTGTCATGTCTGTCTGCTGAGCTGTGTACTTCACCTGATCCCTGTCTTCTGAGTACTGTGTATGAGTCCGTCCTGTTCCGCTACTCCACCTAGTGTTACAGAAACCGCTGCCATTGTAAATGTTTGTCTTTCCACCCTCCACCACCCCCCATCCCCCAGGTCTCCCCCCGGTTGCCTCCCAGAGTCTAAAAACACACAGGATTAGAATAACTACTCACTACTCACAATTTACCACAGATACAAGTCTAAGTGTGAATAGGTGTTGATCTCCATCCAGAGTGAAGCCCACCCTCGTGCGATAACTGATGGCGTTGCATGAATGAAAATATTCCACATGGAAGCGTGTGGGTGG